TAAGGGTGGCAAACTAGGGGATGAATCCGATTTCGCGCACATTCCAGTAACCGATTTTAATTAGAGTTGGCAAATAGATGTTGGTATCGGTTTTTTTTTCTAACGAAGTTATTAAACTGTTCTTTCGAAAGGAGGAAATATTTTTGACGGTTTCTACCGTCCTAATAACTCGATATTATACTAGTATAATAAGAAATTAAGTTATTACTGTGTTTTTTGTTGAAAATCATAATGACAGACGTAATTAATAATATGTATTCTTGATGATGTTTAGTTCTTGAAAGCTATTCTTTCAGTGGTTGACTGCTTTTCGTTGGTTATTTTTATGGTTAAGTCATTAATGGCGTATCAATACAATGGCGCTAATTCATATAGATTATTGCACAACCAACTTTCTGTTGAAATCTTTTTAGTCGGCTCCTTTGAGAACAGCAGTTCTTTACCACTGATCGCTTCCATTCATATTTTGGTTCTAATGCTACAACACTGAAGCCACCTTGTGAAGACTACTAATATTGTTTATGTACGACGACATCGTCGATGGCTAACGTGACCATTATTTTTTTCTCTCAAAGCGGGACGCCTATAAATTTATTATTGTCTTAAAAATAAAATACATGTTTACGACAGTTACGATAAGTTTAATGATTATTTAAAAAAAAAGTACTATAGATGCTTAATTATCATAAATTTAAAAAAAACTTGTGTGGTCTGATGGGCTAGCTTTGTGTATTGTTAGGGATGAGCAAATTTTCTTTAATGCGTGAGGTTCAGATTTTAAATCTATTCCACCCGCCAAAAACAATGAACGCGCAGTACTGACGCACAACTAAAAGAACCGAGCAACAAGGCTTACTCGATACTTCGTTTTCGCGCCTTTTGGGGATACCGGTGCAAGAAGTTTAAAAGCGGGACTGTCCCGCTCAAAACGGGACACATAGTCACGTTGTCGACGGCCCAACGGCTTGCGCTGTAGCCGCTGGGTGAGGAGATCCTGGGTACGACTCCCAGTAGAATCGATTTGGGAAATGAACTTTCTAAATTGGACCTGGTCTCGTCTGGGATAGCGCCCCGGAGTGAAGTACTGGGAATTCCCTAGTTTGAGACCAGGCAATTGGTGTGGTTGTCTGGCACATTAGTATTATTAAGGATCAAGAATAAATATTAATATTTTATTCTCACCTGATACCCTGGTACTTACAAGCTTATTCTTGGTAGGTACTGGGGTACAAATTAACAAGGAAATGTATTTATTTATTATGTATATCAATATTCATGACCTGTCATAAACAAAATTGATTGTCTATGGTAATTATAACATTTGATCACAATTGCTCAATAAATCAATATTTGATTTAAAACTTCTTTTTTTCTTGACTGTACGTACCTTACAAATGCAATGGAGGGGATCCGTTGGGAGTTGCATAAACATAGAGGTAATCAGTTCGGATTTAAAATTGGTGGAAGAGTTGTAAGGAATCAGATGGGAGCAACCATACGCGATTTATGCGCATATTTATTTTTAATAAACCAACATCACGTTTTCCTGTGATATATATTCTTTCACCTATAGCGAGAGACATAGCTACTAAATATTCACAAATATATATATATATATGTATCAGTGTATTTGCATTTAGGGTTCTGCAATTAGAGGCAATACATTCTCGCTGTTGTAACGACCCAGTGGCCAACCTCGCTTCGTTGCAGGAAGTGTTGACGGAAACTAGTACATCCTTTTCCGAAAGGGATATCCCAGAGGACAACTAATCATAACGTACGAGACAAGGTCGTTTAAAAGTTAACAACAGTGTTATACTCTGGCTAAATTCGATGTAGAATAAATGTCAACAAACAAAACACGATTTTCAGTTTTTACCATAATTTCAATATTTTCTTACTAGGTTATGGATAATACTAAATCTTGAAGCCATGTTTATAAGAACTATTATTCGACGGAAGTTTCAAATCGCTTAAAAATGACCAGTAATTATTTATTTGTCAAACTGTGTCATCCTTAGTGGCTTTTTGATTTGAAGCGGAGATTGCAAACATTCGAGTTCTGATTCCGTTCAGAATCGGAAATAGATGCTGCTAAAATCTTATAATTTTGTATCTTTCGTCTACCATTACCTACCGTCTAGCAGTAAATATCAATAGGATGCAAAAACTTACGTTTATTCCTAAATCATACGTATCAATAGGTATTTTGTAAATTTTATAATAATTGGCTAGGTAAGTATTACTTCTACATAACCCAATTACCTACTTACCTATTTAAATTCCAATTAAGGGAACAGGCCTTAATAATGAGCATTGAAAAAAATGTTCTTTTCCAATGTCATAGTTGGTCGGCTAGCAACGTTTTGTTATTAAATATTCTACATCGAATTTAGCTAGAGCACAGATAGTCAGATGCCCATTTCTGCTAATTTTCTTGAAACCACTTGTAGTTGTAATTTGAGACTCAATTGAGATTATATTGCAATTATGATAATATTTGTTACTTTGCTAAAATCTAGATGCAATGGCAGTTGAGTCTCAATAGAATGGCAGTGACCGCATTCTTTCATTCAATCAATAACGGTCGATGATGCCTCACTAAAACTATGAAAATTATTATGCATAATTTAATCTTAATCTTAAGATTCCTTTACGATTACGATTGTAACGATTGTGGAACGATCTCCTGTATGAAATCCGACATTCTAAAGGTGGTTTTCCACCGGCGAGGCGAGACGAGGTTTGAAATTTGTATGACAAAATTTCAATTCTCTCTTAGCCCATCTTCTGGTGGAAATGGTCTGAAATGACGAGGATGGACGAGGCGAAAATTGAAATATTAATTGATATAATATTGAACCGTATTGCTGCCTGCATAGAGTATTATAGTCTGCAACGGAAACACAATTACTCGCGCGATCTCGGGAGCGCCCGCAGGGTCTCGCGCGAGCTCGCCATGGCTATTAATATCAATCGCCAGGTTGTCAGATTTAAAAAAGATGGATTAATAAAGAGTATATCTATCTATGTATCTATCTATCTAAATTTTTATCTCGCTTAATCAGCAATTTAGTCTCCAAATTCAAATTATATAATATTAGTGCACTACGCCATAGATGTGCCATTGAAGAGCAGAATACGAAAAAAACGGCAGTTGAATAGTAGACTGACAAGCCTTTACTCTTAACTTTTAGCAGAATACCAAACGCACAACTGAGATGACTTAAAATTAGCAAACTTGCCTGGTATGATGTCCATATCTCTTCAAAGAATGACAAAACTATTTCAAAGTTATGTCGCGGTAACATGGAATTCCCTGTAGCACGACCATTAGCGTAACGGAATTCATTCTGGGCTGTTTTTCAGAACACTCGACCAGAACCAATTTAAAGTTCATTTCCCAAAATGTTCGAACCAGGAATCCAACCCAGCACCTGATCCAGCGCCTAGAGTGCAAACAGGGTTAATTTTTTACATTTGTCGTACGTAACAATAACAAAAAAACTACAATTGTGACATCTTGATACTTGCTTTACACTGAACTCAACATTGTCGCAACTGTCCGTCACGGCGACCGACGTCCTTCCAAAAAATACCTGAAAAAACTTACGAAAACAAAGCAACAATTATTTTAAACTCTACTGCTTTGAGTTAAAAATGAATTGTTCAACTCGCTGCTAAAATTCGTTACACCCATTAAATGGATTAACCATGCTGGGTGTAGACCTGTGATTAAGATTTTGAAATGCACTGATGTTTGATAGTTAAATATTTGGATGGAGATTTTAAATAGTGTAGTAGTGTGTCCAATTAAGGGATTGTATTTATAGTAACTACTACTACTATAGTAAGTTGGAGCTTTTCTTACAAAAGGGATTCGTCCCGTTGGTTGCAAGCGCGGCGCAGAGTCCGCGACAAGTCCCGGTGGGTGCGAATCTTACAAAAAGGTACTCGCTGATAGGTGTTCTCGTAACCTATCCCGAAAGGTAGGAGATAACCGTAGAAATGCAATCGTTGACTCGATCAATTATAAATTTTTACTATACACACATTCGAAAAATAAATCAGATCAATCTCATACAAAATACTGGTGACTGTTGACTTCATTGGTAAGTCAATGGTGACAGATCTATTACATTTGGGAAAGTCTTAACATCGCGATTAAAAAATTGAGTTAGCTATGCCAATGCCATCAAGCTGTAAACTTCGGAACTATTGTTACAAATGTTGCTAAAATTATTGTGTTACTATAGTTAATTCAATTTAAGTTTAGTTACATAAATACAAAATTAAATAATAATAATGTAATGTGCCAATAATAAGCTAAACCAAAACATCAATAACCTGGGGTCCTTACCTACAAATAAAACAAACAAAAAATTGAGTCAACCGCGACCATGGAGTATGTAAAGAACCCGAATCGTAATCGAAGAAATAATTTTCTCGGACCTAAATATGCGTGCATATTTGTTTTCTCAAACAAACCTATGTTTCGGTCTTTTACATGCATGGTACAGTCATCAACCATTTATATCTAATATTAACGCAAATTAATCCATTTTTCAAAATAATTATATCTTACAATTAGCAAATAAATACCATCAATGCCTGTAAGTAACGTCCATCTTTGATGAAATTGACGGTAGTGGTGACAGTTGCCATTTATTAGTTATAAATTACTATCTCGTACTGTACGGTTTCAAATGGGGTTTCAAAGGAATCTTCAAATGGGGTTTGAAAAGGGTCCTAAACCATGGGCAACGAGCTCGTAACGCCCCTGATGTTGTAGGCGTTCATAGGCGACGCGGTGGTGACTGCTTTTCATCAGGCGGCCCGTATGCTTGTTTGCTGCTTACATAATACAAAGAAAATCTGGTTCTGGTTCCGGAATTAGGCGAATTCACATTAATAACGGTCACTCGACTGTACACGGCCATTTACTACGATGTTTTAATACGACACTGAAACCTAACGGAAATTTTTTCTTGCCCTAACAGCGCGAAGAGGAGAAAGCCAGCCTGATCCAGGAGTTAACAGCACAGAACTCTCGGCTTACGGCTCAGCTGAAAGAGTCGTCGGCTATTGAGGCCCAGCTGATCGCACAGCTTGAGGGATTGAAGGACCAGTGCTCTATTAGACAGACCAGTCTCAAGGTAAGACACCGTTAACAAAAAAAATAGTAGAACTATAATAATATACCTATATCTAAACTATAATACATTTGATCAAAAAGCGACATTTACACCTGGCATTGGCACCTGTAAAGGGACCGGCTGCGGTGAAGAAGGTTCTAAAATCTCTCACTAGATGTCACTAGCCGCAGAATACCGAATAATTTACGTACAAAGATCTTTAAGAAAAACACGTAGGAGAACATCGACAACTATATAGTCTGGATTCTGGGAAATGCCACAAAGCGAGTTCCGTTGCTTTGGTACTCATAGTACAGGCAATTCCCCAGTTTGAGACCAGGCAATGGTGTAGTTGTCTAAAAAAAGAATTTCAAGAAAAATTACGTCCTCACCAGTGTGTCCGAAAAGGTGCCTGAAATGTTGGCTATGTTCCCTGTACATACGGGTCTATAATTACATTTTTGCCTTCGTAATTACCCAGGATCACGTCCAAAGCTTGGAATCATTGAAAGCAGAACTGGCCCTCGTGAGCGACAAGCGTACAGAGCTGGAGCGAAGGCTGACCAGCTCTCTGCATGACAAAGACAACCTCATGCAGCAGCTGGAAGAGGCCAATGACCGTATAGTGGCTCTGGAAAGGCAGTTGAAAGAACAGGTAAGGATTTTGTAGTGTAAGAATAAGAATATATTTAGAATAAGAATATATTTATTGCATAACTATGGGTATGGTACATTCGGTCTTAAAATAATACATTAAGCAGATCTCCATAGCCTACCAGTCAAGGTGTACAATATTTGTTCATCTACAAATTAACAATTAAAATTATATTACAATGTCAAAATAATTGAGATAAATATACATGTCACTACCTTATTTACCAAATTTTCCATTATCGTCAAATAATTCCTGTACACTATAGTAAAGTTTGGAACTCAACCATTTAGCAACAACATGTTTGAATTTAGAATAATCTAATTTTTTAAATGCATTTGGAATGCAGTTATATATTTTGACTGACATTACGTAAAAACTTTTGTGATAGAGTGCTGATGTATGAATACCAGAGTGAACAATTCTGTAACCATACCTTAAATTTCTGTGATTGCTGTCATTTGCAATTGCAAAATACGATGGATGTTTATGAACAAATGCAGCCACCTCTTTAATGTACAGACAGGGCAACGGAAGGATTTTGCACTTGTCGAATAAGGGTTTACATGAATCAATTTGCGACGCACCACATATAGCACGGATACACCGCTTTTGCATTTTAAAAACCTTCATGTAATCAACCGCGTTCCCCCAAAATATTATTCCGTAACTTATGGCCGACTGTACATATCCAAAATAGGCAGTCAAAGCCGCATCAACTGACACGTTATGTACTAACTTTCTCAATGGATACATAAAGCGGGACAGCCTGTTACACAAGCTGTCAATATGTACTTTCCAGCTGCAATTGCTGTCAAGTATTAGACCCAGAAATTTTGTGTTTTTTACTTGTTCAATATTTATATTATTGAATGAAACTTTTAGATCCAATGGCAATTTTTTGTAAGAGTGAAATTGTATAATATTAGTTTTTGTTAGATTAATACTGAGACCATTACCATTCATCCATTCCATTATGTTATTTATAGTGTTATTAATATCACGTTCATACTGTTGTTTACCTTCACATTTAATTATAGCAGTGCTATCGTCCGCAAATAAAACCATTTGTTTATTTGTGTTCTTTGGAAGATCATTAATGTAAAATAGGAATATAATAACTAAACATAACATTATTTGGTAAAAGAAGATAATTTCTTCTTCTTGGTAGAGTTAGCTAATAAGTTTTTGGAGAGCACTTCATTGTAACACATGGTTTATAGAGTCGATCTATATTGATTTGAAAACAAAGCTTACAAGGGTAAGGTCGCATTCAAAATAGACTTTTCATAAAATATCTAGGACTATGGCCTAACCCTCGCTTGAGATGAGACCCGTGTGCGGCAGTGGGACGTATAAATCGGTTGATGATGAAAAGAGTCAACTTTTTTAGACTCAATCAGGGTAGAGTGTAGACCTAAGTCCTTTTCTTCGAAGGTCAGCAGTGGATGGGTTCAAACTCTCTGATAATTAACGTTCAAAATCAAGAACCGTTCTTTCTAAACAATGTCTGTAGTTAACTACCCACGAAGGTCTGTTGGGTAATAAGATCTCTGTTGTATTGGTAACTTTGTTAATGTGCGTAGCCAAGAAATCGTTGGCGCAGGAAGAGTTCGTTTTATTATGCAAAAGCATCATGAGCTTGAAGGTTTATTTATTATTCAGACTGTTTTTAATAGGTTAAGAGTTCTTCTACTTTAAGAGTTCGTCTAGCGAAGTATTTCCGCCTTACCCTTTTCTGCCGCCAAACAGTTAATGCGAGCATTACTGCATTCCAGTTTATATTCCAGTACAGGCACGTGGGACTTGTCAACTTAAGTATTAAATTGACGGGCACAATGGCAGTGCACCTCAGATCCTTGCGTTTTAAAGCTCTAACTGGCACTGCAACTGTTGTGAACAGGCGCGTCGCTTGCCACCAGATGCTCGACTTGTCCGTCCCTTCATTTGGTGTCGTAAAAAAATCACCTCTCAAATTTTCTTGCAGGAACACCTCTACCAAAACACCCTGAAGGAGCTAGAACGTCTCCAAAGATCCCACGACACGTTGGCAGAAAGAATCGGAGCACCAGACCCTGCTGATACAGCGGAATCAGCCAGAAGTCTTCATGCAGAGATGGAAACTGAGCCTGAAGACCAGGACGACAGCTGGTTGAGGAGTGAAGCTGTCCAGGTGTATAAGCAGTTGCGAGCTTTGGCGTTGCAGCTTAATACTGGACATGACGATGATTCAGGTATGTGGATTTTCTGCACCAGATTTTCTAGAAGCAGTAAGAATTAACTAACAACAAACACTAACTAAACCAATCAATGTCAGTTACAAAAATCTTGGATCATAAAGTGGAGGTTCGAGCCCGGCGTCGAACCCACAGCCTCTGCTTAGGTCAAACCATTAGACTACCACGGCTTTTTTTAAATAAATAAATTCATAAACAAAACAAAGTTGCATGTTTTCCGTGATGCAACACTTCCAAATGGGTTGTTAAAGAGTAAGTGCTATAAAAACAAAAAGCAATACAAATTACAATCTCAATTAGTCATAGTATCGAATATGGCAACCATGTCCAAGAGCAGTTCCTCAATCAGATTTTATCACCGACGATACGACCCCGATCCGACTAACGACTAGTTATCATTTCTATCTAAGAATGTGTTGGCAAAAAGTTACACTATTAGTTTCAGTCTATAAATGCACGGTATGATCGTTGTTAATAGTAAGTTTCATTTTTTAAATTTTTATTGAATTGATTTTCAATTATTATTTGTGAAATTACCTTGGCGTCTGGCACGGTATGCTTGAAGACGTCAGTTCGAATCCGGCCGGATTGAAGGAATTTTTTCTGAGTGTTCGATCTTTGTATTAATAATTATAACTAAGTTAGTTTCGTTGGTCAACAGAGTTTATATTTATATATCATAATTTTGACTCCACGATATGATGGGTCTGCTTTAGAAATGTTATACGATATTTATCATTTACTAATATTTTAGTAGCAGTAAAACTCCTTGTGAAAGTGTTCGTCCAGGAAAGTACTGCCTCCTTACCTATTTCTGCTGCTAAGCAATGTAAGCATTATTGCATTCCCGATCTGAAAGGTAACGGTGCTGGCGAAATTACATGCACATGGGACTTTTTATGTCTCGTGACGGGCGCAGTGGCAATACTCCTCAGATCTTTGTGATTTAAAGCTTTGAGTAGTACTGCAACTGTTATGATCATACGTGTCGCTTACTACTTGTTCGTCGCATTGCTTCGTACCATAAATAGAAAGGAAAAACGAACTTTGACCACAGTTAAAAACATGAAATGTAATTTTTTTTAACCAACTTAAAATTTTTAATTAAAATTACTCCAGCATTTGTGAATCGATTTCGATAATTCTTTTTTTTTTGGAAAGAGGGTACGTCAGTATTAGTCCCATTTAAATTTGAAGAAAGTATTCCACTTCTAAGGGTGGCAAACCGGTTTGGCGCACTTTCCGATAATCGATTTCTATAAAACTTGGCAAATAGATGTAATTGAACAAATTTTTGAGGTAGACTTTTTTTTTTCACGAATTTTGTTGACAATTACATCTTACGTCACAATTTGCTTGATGACTTGCAAAGTACGATATCACCGCTCACCCATGTACCTATAAATTACGTGTGTTGTGCTACCGATTTCATTATTCACACTGCGACACATAGTCAAGAATTCTGTAACCCAAATAACAGTATGGTATCACGCGATCGATATTCTTACTACGTTTTATTTAGGTTGTAGACAAAAGTAACGGATCGATAGAAATATATCTATATCATAACTTATGTAATGTGTAAAATTGGTAGGTCAAGCACTGCAGAACACGTGAAAGAAATAAGAGTATTCAATTATCAATTTACAGATTTCATCGTTATTTCGAGTTCTTAGGTTTTCGCGATTGTTACACATAGGAAATGAAACTATTTCTCCGGATTTTAATCGCGTATATTTGTTTTTTCAAACAAACCAACGTTTCGGACCCTTTACAGGTCCCATAGTCACGGTTGACTGAGGTGGTGAAGTCATCAACCCGTTATGGTCTAATATTAATGGTAATATTGATGGATGGTCATTCTTTGTGTTTCGGCTTGGGTTGGGTTGCGTAGGAGAACTTTTGTTATTTTAGTATTTATTTTCAGTCCTATTGTACAGAAAAGGTGGCGGCGGTTTCTGTCAATGATATCTAGTTTGCTCAGTGAGTTTGATATCATGAGCATGTTGTCTGCGAATGATAGTACCACCGGATTTTCTTATTTTGGTCAAGTTGGAGGAACTCTATTTCTTCCTAGAGAGTTCTCATTATGTCGTCCATTATCAGAGTGAACAACCGTGGCGAGAGTGGGCACCCTGTTTTACTCCTTTTCCTTTCGTTATCCGATTCGTTTGTTGTCCAAACCATTTATTTCTCGTTATTTCCGTTATTTCTCGTTAATGACCCTGTTTGTTAGGGTCCATCCATAGGGAACCATCTTCTTTTTCACTTTATTTTTGTTATAACTATAGTTACTGTATTTACCTCTGATGAAAAATCCCAATTTCACATAAGACTGCAGTACTAATTTGATTAATGTGTTTTAATTTATTTTAATTTCCATTATTAATTAATAATAAATTTAATTTAATAATAACGCTCACAATAATAATAACGCTCACAACCAACATCGTATAATTCAAATAACATGATTTGTAAAACATTATGTTGTGTAAATTGGAATGTTCTTTGGAAAATATAAAAATAAATGTGTAATTAATAACTTTTGTAACTATAATGAAAAACAGAGTGGTTTGCATTAATATTAGACATAACTGGTTGGTGACTTCATCATCATGTCAAGCCATTAAACATCCCACTGCTGGGCACAAGTTTCTTCCAAAGTTTCTGTTGTGAAATTTCCTCGGCGTGCAGGTTTTATTATCATTTTGAATATACACTATCTACACTTTTGTTCTAATAACGTCTCCAGTGCAACGGATACAATATCATGCTCAACCGTCTAGAAATTGAAGTCGTAGGTACAAGCCTCCGCAGGGACTCGAACCGTCGACATATCAATTGCCACCACCCCTCCATATAATTGCATCATTATTGCGATCGGAAACCCGCCACTGACACGCGTGGCGATTATGCAAAATATTTATTTTATGGACGGAGATTGTTATAGGCCAATTTATATAATTGAAAAATCGTTGACTGTGAAGAAGTGCGTGCCGGTAAGAGCTCAGTCAATAAATGTATTCTTGAAACTGGACAAAGATAGTGATGTTGCTTAGTGTTATATGGAGGGAAAGTGCCTGATAGAATATTTTGCTGAAAGAAGACTTTATTGTGATTTTAAAAGCAATTCCAACTGCATTTAAAGATTTTTAAATAATGGCCTGTCTGAGCCGAGAATCGATCCCGGTAAACGTGAAAAACAAACACCTGTAATTTTACTAAACTGATCGAAAGCCTCAATAGTAAGGATTATTTTCTTCTAAATAACATAGGATCTTAAATAAAAGGAAGACGCTATGTCAACTAGCCATGGAACGAACCAACGGACCTCGCGAATTTTTCAATGTGTTTGTTGCAGGTCTTTGTTTTTGGTTTTTAACGCCTATTATTATTTAATTAGTCCCTGTCGGTGCCGATAAATCTTGGAACGCTTTCTCTATACAACACGACCTTCATGAGAAAGTCTCGAAAAAGCCTTTCAGCGGCGGCTCATGCCCGAGTATGCACCCTCAGTTCGTTATTTAGCTTTTAACAAGAGTGACGAACCTTCAGCTCGCCTTTTGGTCGGCTTATAATAAAAATAAGCGTTGGGAAATGTAGGTTTCTTGTCTTTGGGTCACAAATTTGGTCCTTTATATTGATTTAAAAAACCTCTCCTTCGCCATTCAGCCTACAACAACTGAACCTTAATTGTCATAACATAGTTAGGTATTAAAACTAATCACGCAGTCCTAAAAGTATTGGAGGCAACTCAAGCATTAAGTGGCACTTCCTCACGAAACGCCGAATTAATGTTGCTTAGTTTGCCAAACTTCGCGTGATCGCTTGTAGGGCAACGTTGTTGTGTTTGGCTTGTTTTAACTCATTTATAGTAAATCACTTGTGTACATACATATACGTCTTTGGAATTCCATTAGGGTTGCCGAATATCGATCTCCGCACTATGTACGGTCAATCTTTTTATACAAGACTTCTCATTCTTCTCACTACGCATTCCAGCCTTTAAGAACATTCTTGATTTTATCTTTGGAAGTCACCTTCCATGTTAGATCTGTAGTGCCACTCTACTATTTTTGTTGCGATGTCCTCTTCGAAACCACATGGGACATTACATACCCAACATTCACTTTGTGACGATGCGACCTCCTCCATCATCATCCCACCTTTTATCAACGCTTTTCTCTGGTTCCTGGCCACTTGCGTTTGAAATTTTGAATCGTTCTCTAATTCTTTTTCGTTGTCATTCTTACTTTGCTTCGTTTCATCGTCACTCCTATCAAAATTCTCAAGGAGAAAAGAAGTGTCTTTCAATCATGTAAACCTAACTGCTTCTAAAGCAGCAATACCTAAATTTCATACGAATACAGGCCTTTTTGCGGTACTTATCCCAAGGGTTAAGTTCACTTACGTTTATGTCTAACTTGTATTGTTTTTTATATTATTATACCTGTTTTTATACCATTGTGTTATACCTTTTACAACAAAATTCTGTGGACTGAGCGTTTCTATCCTTATTACGCAAGACCCGCATAACAACTTATCTTCCATATTATTCCACGTATCAATTTTAGAACCTAAACAGCATTATGCACTACCATTTCTACCTTCTCAGATACGAAGACTATATTGTTTTGTAACAATTCAATGTTATGATTGAAATGTAGGTATACAAATGTACTGTCTGTGTAGAGAGTCGTTACCACATTTATTAATGCGAAATCACCTTAAGCCAATGAGAAAAAGCTTTATATCCATGCTTGATAAGAAATTTAAAATTAATAGAAAGCTTTGCCGTCTCCTGAATAATCACTCTTTATAAGATACGAGTATGAGAAAATAAGCCATCGATATTCTACTCGTAATTAGTCTTCTCTTCAGTTTAAAAGCAGATTCCATCTAATGACCATCTCCGACACAGAACTCAGTTACTTATTTGTCTCATGGATAAAGATCTTAACGATTGGCTAAGCGAAACCCTACCCGTAGCTTGGCGC